TGGGTTTCTTTTTTTTTTTGGGCAAATTCAGGCAGGCACTGAGCTTTGGAGTGCTTTTTCCTGTTCTGACTGCTGCTGCACGGCACTGGGTTGTGCTTGCCCAATTGTCTGTACAGTTAAAATATTTTGAGCGTAGCATATTTTGATGTAACTTCATTTGAAATATCTGCCTAATGGAGAAGTCTTAATGGAATACTTTAATAGCCCAAAGTGGTTACCTGCAATTGCTCTAGTGTATTTCAGTCAATTACAAAGGAAGGCAATATTTAATGTTGAAGTGGAGCTAGATGGTGTAATGAACTGGCAGATTGCCAGTATGATCTTCTCAGCAGGAGAATTTGTATTAATGCGGTGCTTTTCATTTGTTCTCCAGAAGGTCACCAGCAATACGTCAATTGTTGGATTTTATCATAGTTATCTGAGTCACTTGAATGACTTATCGTTTGAGTTGAAATTCCCAGCCTGTGCAGTGCAAGGTTTATGGTCAGGTCATTTTTGTGTATTAGCATATTAAGTATCAAAGAGATTATTTTAGCTCTTTCTTGTCAGAATTTAAATAGAAAGTGGTTGGATATTGGGAAGGGAGCCTGAGAGAATTGTCACTGCGAATAGTCATTGTAAGGCTGAATTTGGATTTCAGTCATGGGGATAAAAAAAAATTGGGGCACATCGCAGCTATTAATGAAAGAGGAGATGGTTAATAACTTTGGAGGTTACTTTTCAGATAATCATTATAGGAGCACTGGTTTATTCTTAGTGATATAATCTTTTAAGATGACACAGTTGAATTTAAAGTTGCACTTTTTGTTAGATGCTCCTGCTCCTTGTCTTTAGCTATTTGTTTGGAAGCACCAAGTTCAAATCCATTTTTGACAACTCAGAAGTGCTTTTCACTGTGGAGCTTGATTAGTTCTTGTGTTTGGGAGATTTTAGTCTAGCAAACCAATGCAACTGAAACATGAACAGATTTATCTTTCTACCTTGCATGATTGTAATCACTTGTTCACCTAAATCCTGTATTCTGTGTTTCCTGTTCCTTATTGTCATCTTCCATACCTTTGTTCTGGACCTGATGGTAATTGTAGGTTGTAAAGATAGTCGTGACTTGTAAGAGGCCTTGGCATTCTGCATATATAAGCATTGAGACACTTGAAGTAGTCTGATATTATAAAATCACAGACTGGTTGAGGCTAACAAGGCCCCCTGTGTGCAGGGTGCTTAGGGCCACGGTCAAGCAGCTGCTGGAGATCTCCAAGGAGGAGTCTGCACAACCTCTGTGAGCAGTCTGTGCCAGTGCTCCGTCACTCATAGAACACAGGAGTGTTCTGTCCTCTGTGCACCTTCCCCTCTGGTATTTATAGGCACTGATGAGATTTCCTTGAGCCTCCTCTTCCCCAGGCTGAACAGTCCCAGCTTTCCAAGCCTCTCCTCGTAGGAGGGATACTCCTGTCCCTTCATCATCTCGATGGCTCTGTATTGATCTCTCTGCTGTATGTCTAGGTCTCTACTGGTGGTCCCAGAACTGAACGCGTTGCTCCACTTGTGGCCTGGAGCTGAATTGAATTATGACCTGCATACAGTTATAATACCAAAAAGTATTGAGTCAGTAGCACTAATTATGCCTTGGGTGCTGTGCTACTGCTGGGCAGCCATGACAGTAGCTGCCTGCCTGACTTGGAGCCCTTTGGAAAATGCAGACTCATTTCCAGAGTTTCCTCAAGCGTGGCAGTTTGTTTTGTGGGTGGACTGTGAGTATCACCCAGTGACTATTTGCCCATGTATTTTTGAAGCCTTTTGGAGGTTACAGGAAATGATTTTGTATTCTCAAAGCCTAAATATTCATGACACACCCTGGCTTTCTCATCAGATACGGCCTTCTAGAGTTTGGCTGTTAGAGCACCATGGCAAAAAACCCCACTCGTGATGCAAAGCCTGTGGTTCAGATGCATGCCATCTCAAATCGTAACTGCTGTTTCCATTCACCATGTGTGAGAAGGAAGATGTCAGAATTGCCTAACTGAAGTACTGTTTCAAGGAATGTATTTGATGCGTAAATGAATTCTTTGTGGCCCAGGTTTCCATCCTGAGTTTGAGTCACTTGGCAAGTTGCAGTGTTGCCAGTGAAGCTTTTGGCAGGGGAGGTATGATAGAAATAGATTCGTACTTCTTGGGGAATGATTGTTAATGAAAGCCAGAGTGTAAACATTGTCTGGCTGTTGTGTAGCAAAATGAAGACTTTTATCAGGAGAAAGACTGAATTAGAGGTCAAAATGCAAAAGAATTGAGCCCAGAGAGGAAAGACCTGAATGCATCTTGTGCTGTTGTCTGTGCATCTGAGCTTCATTTCAGGCAAAGTGTTGGTAGGAATGAGATTTTCTTGTATGTTTTCTTCCTTTGACTCTTCATTTGTTTGGAGATGCTTCTAATATATGTTAATTGGGCTGTGCAAAATAGAGTTTTATTAAAATACTTTCATGACTCATTTTTTTAATTATATATTTGGATACAATTTGGACTTTTATTTTCCCCAGCTGTACTTTCTCTCCAGTTAACTGGTAAATACAGGGTTCACTTTTCAGATATTGATGATCAACAGTCCTGTATTTCTGCTCACTTTCCAAGGCAAGTTGTAAACACTGATGCACATTTGTGAAGTTGGGAGCAGTCACTTGGAGTGCTGAGTTTTTCTTTAAAGAACAGAACCCCCAAATCCCGTGATGCAATGTCAGCAGTTTGGCGGAGTACTTTATTTGTGAACTTTAATGGACAGTAGATGATTTGTGGGGCGAGAGGGATGTAAGAGTACTATTTATAAGATCTTGTAACAAAATAAAGCAAATTTGCTTGCTTTTTTTTTTTTTTTTTTTTTTTTTTTTTTTTCCCCTCATGATTAACATTATTCTTGTAGGAGAGAAACATGGCCTACAAAAGGGAATGGAGATTGTTTAATCTGGAGAAGAGGCTTATTGCTGTCCGCAAGAACCTGAAAGGATTTTGTGGGCAGGTGGGAGTTGATTTCATCCTCCGGGTTGCTAGTGATAGGAGGTGTGGTAATGGCCTTAAGTTGCACCAGGGAAAGTTCAAGTGGGATCTTAGGAAAAATTCTTTGTCTGGAAGAGTAGTCAAGCATTGGAACAGGCTGCCTGGGGAATGGTGGAGTCACCATACCTACAGGTGTTCAAGAAATGTGTAGATGTGGCAGTTTGGGGTGTGGTTTAATGGGCATGATGGCTTGATGATTGGACTAGATGATCTTGAAGTCTTTTCTAAGGATAGTAACACTATGACTCTGGAAGTGTTTAGCTGTCACGAAAAGGGATCTACTTTGCCTTAGGGTTTTTGACGTTGCTTCATTAAAGTATCGTTTCCATTTACAAGGTATCTTGAGATCTGTCCTGTAATTTAGAATGTGGAGCAGTTCTCATGGAGAATAATGGTTTGTGGAGACTAAGAATACAGTAGCTGGACAAGAGAATTGATTCAGCAAAATGTAGCTGTCTATCTACTGAAAACTTAGTGATATGAAGAGCCTGGCTGCAGTGTGCTGGGCATTTTGGCTTGTACTTGAGCACAAAAGAAGGGATGGCAGGTGGTAGGTCATTCTCCCGTTGCATCAGTTCTCTGCTGTTACAGATGTATTTTCATTCATGCAGTAAACAATACTTCATCATAATTTTGCCTCTTCTGTTTTTTTTCCCCCCTTCCTTGTGTGTCAGGAGCAGCATCCTGCTTACTGTGAAATTTCATGGTAGCTGGGAAGTAGAAACTATTTCTTTTAGCCTCAGTGTTTATCAGTTTAGGGGTTCATCAGCTCCCTTTCTCTGCTTATAAACCATGTAAGTCCAAACCTGGCTTTCAAATGTCTTTGCAACATATTTATAATACTTTCTTTAGTATTTTTTTTTTCCTCCCCTTTCATTAAGATGAATTAGATGAATTGCTCTCTTTAATTGAATTTCTTTGTAGGATACTTTTGTAGTGCAGAAATGGATTTGAATCCTTTCAGGGAAGATTCTGAACACAAACATTTGTGCATGAGTGGCCTTTGAATGAGTAAGGTTGTAATAATGTGTTGTTATTAGCCAGGGGTTGCGGTACAGGAAGATGCTCGGAATTTTTTCCTTCAGTTTGATTTGGAGCTTAACAAATTTACACAACCTGAATTTGTCAGACTTACTTTGGAGTTGGAAATCTCATTAGAAAATAGAAACAAAATGTTGAAATAATCTGAGATGTCTTCTGAAATACTACTTTGTGGCTAGCAACGCTTAACACAGCAGGTCTTGTTGGAGGACCCCTCTGAAGATTGGAGCAGGGCTAAGGCCGGAGCTGGTACTCTGTTGAGGTTAAGTTCGAGACACACTCAGGCAGAAGGTCTCCTTATTTCTTGGAACATGTTGCTGTGCCCAGCCAGCCTTGAGGGGAACCCTTCTTCATGTCCAGACAGAACCTCCCTAATGAGAGTTCTCCTTGCCAGCTTCAGTGTTCACTCTGACTTGTATTGGAGGGCCCTGAATCACACATCATAGGCTAGGGAGAACCTTTTTAGTTCCCAATGGGTGGAAATTATCTGTCCCTCAGACTGCTGCCTGGGTTTTTGCTTCCATGCTCTGTTCTCCATGTGTGACTGTGTTTTCATTTAGGAAGATGTGAGTTGAACTTGCTAGCATGAAAGTGAAGGGAGCAATAACTGTAGCAGCTCAAATGCAATTTTTAGAACTGCTGAATTTTTGATTGGGTTTATGCACTAATTTTTCTTTGTATTGTGGTGGCTGGGCTTATTCCCTGGGTAGTTTGGATGTTCTGCAGCACACTGATATCCATCCAGAAAATATATAAATACAGATTCAACTTACACTGAATAGGTGGATCAAGCTGAAGTCATTCCTGCCTTCTCTTCATAATCTCTTGAGAGAGATTAAAAAAACAAAACAAACAAAACAACCAAATTGTCTGAAGGTCAAACTTTAGTGCTAAAACTGTGTTGTTTGTTATTTCAGATAGTTGTGTACGTAACTTCATTGGAGAGTCCTGCCTTTCACTGCCTGGATCCTTTTAACAGTGTGCCAAAGGTGAGTGATTCAGGCCTTATTTTTATATCTAAAGATAAGGAGCTAACTGGATATATTGCTTGGTTGTGCTTTCATGTGGTGTGATGCCTGTAATTTTCTTCAGACTGCTGGATCATTTATTAAATAGCAGATCTTTTTCTTTCTGTGATCTGAGACGAACTAGTTCTAGCTCTTGCTTGAGAAGGTAGAAAGATAGGATCAAGTCATTAATTATTAATTAATTAATTAACTACTCCTGTAGCTGTTTTTTGGCTCCTTCCTTCTGTTCGCTATGGACTATGGCTTAGGACACTTATCTTAGAGAAGATGTAGATAAAGTGTATTGCTATGGGAGGAGGCATAGTAGTAATTCATAGCCTTTGGTTTAACAGCCTCAGTGTTATTCTTTGATTTCTAAAAACTAACTAATAATTTATTAATTAGTGAAATGAAAGAAGGTTTGTATATTTGTGGTGATTGGTTCTTTGTTTTATTATTTATTTTTTGGAAGTGTAGATCTGAATTGCACTCAGTGTTTATATAGAGTAACTTCCTAAACTGTCTCTGAAGGCTGAAATATCATTATGGAGCTGATGTATCTTGTGGCACATCTGCCCACATGCTTGGTATATATACCTTGGTATATATGGTATATGTACCTTGTTGTCTTTTCTTTTAGTAGCTTTTAAAGAAATGAAACCTCATCACAACTGTTAATTAAAGAAAAAAAAGACAGGACATTGAATGAACTTTCAGTGTTGTACTGGATGCAGCATAGACAAGGGAACTTTACTATACAAATTTACTATTTCTTATTCAGGTTCTCTGTTCACAAATTAAAATAAAGTTACCTTCTTCAGAATGAAGTTATGATGGCTCATTATTGGCATTTTGTAGTCCTTAGATGAAAAGCAATGCATTAAGTCCCCATGTGTCTTGATTTTTGCTGTGAGTTCTGTTAAATGGCTGTTCAGTGAAGTGTTATCAGACATTAAACAAATTAATGTCTAAAAATAAAAATAAAAATAATGTCAATTAAACAGTTAATGTCAATAAAATGGAGATTAATCAGTTAGAATTACGAGTGCAATCCAGTCTTAAATTTATCACCTATTATTGGAAGTGTATTTGGAAATGATTGGGTTTCCTTCAAGGCAATAGAAAAAAAAATTCTGAAATGCTTTGAGATGGGTTGACTTTTGCACTACATTTTCAGGTTAATTTATATCTATCCACTACATTCAAAGATGATTTTATAACTCTGGCCTTCCCAGCAGATCAGAATGTGTATCCTTGAACATTCTGTAATTATTTTTGAGCAACAGTGAGAAATCTTTTGTAATAAATTTTAAGAGCAGAGTGGGTGGTTTGTTTTTTGATTTGGTTGGTTGATTCATGTAGGTAACAGACAAAGTAACAAAAGCTCTTGAAGTGGCCATTGGTGTAAATAGAAGACAAATAACCAATCCCCAAAACGATTATGATTCATCCAACTAGGAACTTAATCATAGTAAAATGATTGTAACTTTTCTACTGAAATTTCTGCTCACAAATCAGCTTGTTAACCGTGGCCCAGGCCTTGTATTCGTTTCAAATGTGTAATATAAAATTACTGTCTATTGGCTTCTTTCATCGTAGCTTCCACTTAAATTTTCTATAAAAAAGCTTCATCACTTTGTTGAAAGAAACAGGTATTTGGAGTCTGGCTTTAGCGTGTTTTTAATTCAAGCTGTTTCTGAGTCAAAAATCTTCTTTCTTCTACCCTTTAAAATGAAAACTTAAAAAACAAATCCAAACAAACACCAGGAACACCCAAAGCAAACACTTTTGTTGCAGATGAAGGTTTTATATAGTTCCCAGAAAGACAATAGCTTGCTAAGAGGAGGAGAAGAGCAGCCTTTTCTGTCTTTGGACATCTTAGTTGCTTCTTCCACCCTTTTAAGTGTAGGTCTACAGAATACTTGCCCTTCTGCAGAACATGGAGCATTCTAACGCCTTTCCAAAAAGGGAATTAATGCTTATGTGTAGGTTCAGTAAACCTTGTACTTGAAGTGCTTCATTGAATCAGAATCTAGTAAATATTTTGCTCTTAGAAAAGCAAATGCAGTTGTTAAATGTTCACAAATGACACTGAAAATGGTCTTTGTATCTCACCAAACTTCTGGCAGTATTGGCTCCTCACAGGATTTTGTTGAATCTGGGAACTGTGGCATAACTTGTGTGTGTTAAATGGTCACCTTTTAGCTGACTGCACACTTGCTGCTTTCAGTTGTTTGTTTCTCTTTCTTTGTTTTCAAAAAAAAGAGAGCTGTACAGAAAGGCACCTTTTTTGCTGTTAAAACTTTCTGTCATTTCTGTAGTTCCAGTAGTGTGAAGCTAGAATGTATAATGTTCTAGCAATTTATTGTAGTCATTCAGTTATTACAAACTTGAAACTGTCCTATAAACGTTTACCTATTATAGAATGTGATATTTAATATTATTCTGTGATTTTGAACTTGTTATTCCTTCACTTACAGTTTCTTTGTAAAAATAAATAAATAATTGCATCTTGTATTTCACAAAATGCTTTGAGAAGTGGTTTCACTATTAATATGTACCTTCTAGTGGTAATGTCTAGATAATTTGTTTTGGGAAATATTCTTTACTAGTATAGTTTTTTTGGAGAATAAGCTTGCCGTCGTATATACCTTGCTGGAGTGTACGTTTGGATATGTAGGGATACATCTGTACAGAGAAGGTAGATAGTCTGAAGAAATTCAAGGTAAGCAGATGAAGCTCAGTTGTCACAGTCTTTTTATGCTCAGTAGATTTGCCAAACAGATCAGATGTCAGTGGCTACAGCATTAGGACACTTCATGGAGAGCCTCGTCTGTAGAGGTATTCAGACAGCTGCCGTGCAAGTGCTGTGTTGCAAGGCAGGAGACTCACTGGCAGCTTCTGAAAGAGCAGTCGTCTTCATTTAAAGAGGTAAAAGCACCACACTGATTTCAACGTGATGCAGCTGTCTGCAGTGCTGTATGAAAGTACTTGGTGTTTTTTGTGGCTCACCACGTGTGCAGTTGTTAATGGATTTTTGAGGAGTTGAAAACCGAGAAGATTCGTTCCTGTTCTTAACGTACCATATGAGCTGGTTTCATGGGGAGTTTTTGTTCTGATTGTAATTAGATGAATGTAAAGCATGGACTGAGTAGATTTCTACATTCTTTTCCCAAGAAGAATAATCATGTATTTATGTCAGTTATCATAGGTGTCTAAAGTGTTGATTTTAAGCCTTTGAGTATAGCTTTTAATGCTTCTTAAAATATTTATGGAAGTTCAGAATAGCTATCAATTTTATAGAACACTGCTGATTATCTTGTGCTGGTGATACAATACTTTCTAAATGATGGTAATGAATATGAGAGAAGAATGCTTTCCCTTCTGCTCTCGTGTCCACATAACCAGCAGTATACCCCCCAGGTATTTTTATGTTGATGCGGTGCACGATAGATTTTCACTGAATTAAATATTTTTTTTTCCAATTTTGACTAATTTGTTTCTTGTTGTAATCAAATTGTAATTCTTTACATGAAAGCATAAACATGCTTTTCTTTACTAAAAATATCAAAGTAGATAAAGAATCGTTTGACTAATTTTTTTCATCATTTTTTCCTGACTGTATCAGGTTCAACTTAGATTCTGCTGCTACCTACAAACCTAATCTATTATAGCCCACCAATGACATTTGTGACTCACTGTAACAACTATCCATATGATTTCTGTGTCACAGAGAGCACAACCCAGCTTTTATCAATATGTGTACATTCAGCTTAGTGCAAACAAAAAGATGACAGCGTCTTCCCCGGTGGAAGTTGTTTTGTGGTTTGGTAGTTTGTATGGGCTTCAGCTGTATTTTTATCCAACGTGTCAGTTTTTTAAGCCAAAAAAGGGCTTTGCCTGCTGAAAAGGATCTAGTGTATTTCTGAGCTCTTGAATATAGCTATGAATTAAACTACTTACTCTTAGTATGTATGAGTATATGTGTATTTGTACAAATAAGCTAAGATGAAGCTTGTGCCTCTTTGTTTATAAAATGATAACAAAGGACCCAGAGACCAAGCCTTGTGTCTTGACCAGTGCTAGGTGGAATGTTGTTGAGCTAGTTGAACCCATATTTCTTGGGTTACTAAATGAACATATTCCTGCATTAAGCTGGTTTCAGTTAGAAGTGTGGAATACACACAGCTCTTCTGAGGGACAGCTGATGTGGTTCTGAATACCGTCTTAAGAATCTCTTGATGATAGTTCATGTGGTCAATCTGCATTAATGGAAGAGTATCTGATTTGCTGAAAACCTTTGTTAGTTAAGTGTTGCATATGGAGGCATGTATCCATGAAAGTCAGCTGGAGAGCTTGGAATGTGTGGATTTTAAGCAACCCCTGTGCCAACACATTGTGCAGTATGATAAGGCTGTATCAGCACAGGGGCAGTTTATTAATCCACTGCCCTCCTGGAGAAGGAAATAGATTAGCCAGGCAGCCAAGGCTGAAGTTACCAAGCCCTAGCTACGCTAATAGCTCTGTCCTGCCCAGGAAGGAGCTGCTGTTATCTTCTGCTTGCAAACTTTTCCTGAAGATGCCCTCCCGTCAGCTTTCTCAGGGATGCCAGGCTTGTTTCACAGCTCAGTACTTTGAGAGCTTGACTTAAGGCTTTACAGAATGAAGAGTGCAGGCCAGCATTGGCATCGGTTCTGGTTATAAAATCAGTTGCAGAGTTGTTTCTCTATTTCATAATTGCTGGAAGACAATTCTTCTGTTTTGAAGGTTCTGAGGGAACTTAAAATGATCCATTGTTTGTGTTACAATCAGGGTGTAAGTTAATAGAATGCAGCTAAAATTGTAAATGCCCATGTTTTCAATAGTGCTCTTAACATATTCCATATGAAAGTACATATCATTTGACTATTATATTAAATGTATGTGTTACATTTAATGCACTATGATATTAAAAAACTTTACTTGCTAAATGGCTCCTTTTG